GGGGGGGGGGGGGGGAGGGCAAAATTATTCAATTCAATTCACCTATCACTCTACTGTTTTTGCTGTTATGATTCTCAGATATAAAATTGCTTTTGCAGATATCCCAAGAACTGTTTACCAACAATACAAAGAATTTGGAGGTATTTTCCGCCATTGGTATGCCTGGGTATCCTTCGTGTTTGTGGCAGAAGCTAACTACGCAGAGGTACATACCTACTATATATAACAAGACTGAAAGAGCGTGAATAAATACTCCAAATCTGAGGAGGGTCATCTGAGTTTTTATTCGTTTCAGCAACTGACTATTTTTTAAAAATAATTGCGACCATTATTTTTATAATTAAAGGATGTGGAAAAATCGAGGACACAATTAAAAGTTGCAATGATCATCCAGCTCACTAGTATTTTTCACTTATTATTACAAGGCTTCAATTAAGGCCGCACCGAAAAGAAGTGAAATTATTCAACATTCGGGAAGTAAAAAATACGTGCGAGAACTTATCTTTAACTCTTGCACGATGTTTATTTCTGAGGAAAGTTATGGATATTTTCCCTTGAAATTTGCACGAATTGTATGTGAAATTGCAAAAATTACAAGCTGTAAAATCGGAAGAAAAATATTCATAAGTTTACCCAGGAATTTGTGTTTTATGCGTGCTTTCGAGTCCCCGCGTGATTCACCGGGCTCGAGGAGCTTTTCTGACCAGAAAATCCCACTTAGCGGGTCCTTCAGCGGCTTGCTGCATGCAAGCGCTAAGCGGGCGCTGCGCTGGCGCCTACAAACCTAACAGGGATACTTCACGCATTGCGCGATGCGTGAAGTAACCCTGTTAGGTTTGTAGGCGCCTATGCGCGAGTCATGCTAGTTGCCCGCTGCGCCACGGAGCGGAGTGCCACGGCGCGGCGGGCAACTATTTCAACCAACTATTTCACGACAGAGGTGTTACACAGTATCATACGAAATTGAAGGCGCTCCAACATATTAAGAATGACACGCGTCCTTTAGGAATACGGAGCTTTCCTAGCAAAATAAATAGAGATACTAAGGAACAAAATGAGAGCAGTGGTCCAAAAACTCACTGAGTCTCAGCATCCGTATTTAATAACGTTAAGTATAATTTTTGAATTTTGTTAGAGAAAAAAGTGACTTGAAAGTGTTCTTGATTTAGGCAAAAACACTCTCGAGTGTACCGTCAAGATTTTACTTTGAATAAAAAATAAAATCCATAATTACTTCATTGTATGTAGAAAGGTACAAAACATTGTTAATAATTGCAGTATTTGTGCTATGTTTAGATAAAGTTGTTTCTTTTTTCCAAAAAATATTGTGTGAAAACAAAACTTTAAAATGAACTTGGAATAGTAGACAAAAGAAAAAAAAGTCTTGCACGCTTTTTTTTACATCCAGAATGTTAAATCAACTTCACCTTTTTTTCGGTACGGCAGACGGCTTGTAGACCATAAGTAGTCGAGAAAAGAGGAGTAATAACACAGAATGGGATGGATGATTGAGGATCGCCGGAAGAGTTTCATATTGAGAATCGAAAAGCATATTTTTCACATGTTCTTAATGAAATATTCTTTCATTATTAGGAGATCTAATTTTGAGAAATGACGCGATGCTTGACTTAAACGCGGTTATTTTTATTCACTCGATAAATAATTTTGGAGGCGAGTTCTTCAAACGGAAGGTAGAATTTATGAAATTTGAAACAAGTTTGTAATCGAATCGGTGTCTTTTCAGTTGTACTTTACATCGAAAAGTCTTGAGGAAAAGGCGGACATGTACAAGTTGTTTCACGACTGGCTGGGCCAGGGCCTGATCACCAGTAATGGTAAGTTTTTAATGAATTATTATTCGACCACAGTCAAAAATGAACAGTGTTTTTGGTTTACAAACTGCGGTGCAAAAGATTGGCAGTTATAATACCTACATCACGTGTTTAGCCAAAGCTGACTCCTGACTGTTCGAATATACGTTATAGTCCGAGAGCCAGACGACTTTGAGTGACAAACTCGGGATACATGTTTTGACCCCCTAAATCGATAGCCTTGCATGCACTGAAACGGAAAATTTTTGTCTGCCGCCCTCTAGCCTGTGCCATCACCCTCATCTAGGCCCTCAAAGTGGTCCAAAAAACACCATCTGGTGACAAACTCCTGACGCT